ATTTAAATGTTGAAACGCTTTTATCAAAGAAAAAGAAATAGTTGAACAAGCTGAGTGACACATGAGGACAGCGGGATAGGATTGAGGAGGAGAGCTCTGGAGAAAGTTCAAAGGTTCTAATCACCCCAATACAGTCGAAGGGACGGTGGATGCATCAGGCAGGAGGAAAAGAGGAGGGTTGGTGTGCATCCTCGCAACGGACGGGAATAACTGAAAGATGAAGAATTAGATGGTGTTTCAATATCTAAGGTTATCTGGCCTTTGTGACAGCGCCGTGGGAGGGGAAGTGTGGGGGGAGCTGTCTACTTCCACGTTAACCTTCTGCCTACCTTCATGTTTCACGCCATCACAGTTCACTCAGTGTGGAATTCTTGGCCTGCATCAAAAGTTCCCTCATACGTGTCTGTGTTTGTAGCTGCTAACTAAGCCAAAAACATGTGACACGAGGTGAAAATGAACTAAAACGCTCAGATGAAAGTAAGAGAATCCAAAACAAACCGCGCTGTGAGGACGAGTGCTGGATTCAGTGAAAAAGAAAAGCTGAAAAATAATTCAGCAGCAGCCATTCTTGTTGTTTTCAAGTTGACCTGTTGCAAAAGATGTGCTCTCTCTTTATCAGCACGACTGGCCATGACAACAACAGTGTGTGTGTTTGAAGAGAAAATAGAGATCGAGTGTGTGTGACAGGAGCCAGTAAGCACCGTTAGCCCATCCTGACCAATTCAATCAATGCCCATCCCACCATGGTTGACCTCCTAATGACCCAACAGTGACCCATCCTTGTGGAAAGACAGCCTCAGTGGAGGCTTAAATACCTCAGTAGGTTAAAGCTAAAGGAAATCACATCGTTGGATATTCTCCAGTGAAAAGAGGCTATTGTCTGGGACTAAGTGTAATCTACAGCTGGGAGACCTCGGTGTGGCCGTGGGGACCGGTTCCATCCCGTCGCTCAGCTGATGCAGCAAACAGCACAATGGAGGCAGCGGCTAACAGAACAGCAGTAATTCTCTGTTGTCCCGGCTCTGATCCCTGGCGTCTCGTAGGCCGGAGGCACGTAGAACAGTGACCATGACAAATGAGGGCGAGCCCGATCTGCCTGGTGGCTGCCGTCTGTGTCTGTGCCAGTCGATGTGAAAGGCCATCGGGTGCTGATTTATACATCGGCGCCCACTGAGGAACAAGAAAATCACAGCCGCACGGCTCCCGCAGAGACACGCGGGCGCTGCTGAGCACAGCTATAAAAACACTGTGACATTACGCAGTACATCAAACAGCTGTAAACTAACTGCAGATTGTTGTACAGCCCACAGCTGAGAGCACTTTAACTAATAATAATTATCACGATTAATCCTTCATTCATGTCTCAGAAGGCAGAGTGAGTGAGGGGGGGGGAGAAAAAAAATCTACTGTCATAACATCAGGTCCTGTTTTATTTAGCATTATCACCTTACTGCAAGAAGGTTTGGCTTCCTTTAGTAAAAGGTCAGTGGTTCAACCCTCCAACCTACATGGGGTAGCATCCTTGGGTAGGATACTGCATCCCATAAGTGCTCTTTGCTGTATCCATGCGAGTGTGAGTGTGTGAAGGTTAAAAGTGCCACGATTTCTCTCCAGGCACAGCCCAAAGACCTCTATGGGTCTGTCGCTGTGTATCATATATAACCACTCCTACGCTGTTTTGCTGTTTGAAGATTCCCCCTTGATCCTGCAAAGACCAGTAGGTGCCCGTCTCTGCAGGAACCTGGGCAAATGTTGGTCCTTTATTCATCCAGGTAAAAAAATCTCATTGAGATTAAACATTTGAGTTCCTGTTTCTCTTTATTCTTTATTATTCTGGTTGCTTCCGTACGTTTTTTGCCGCTTAACTACTCCCTCAGTTTTCGTGCTATTTGCACCGTTCAAACTTTGAAAGATTCTACTCTTTCTGCTAATTATTGCTATGACTTTTGGTGCTCATAACTTCTATACTTTTTGAGATATTGAATTTTTTATGCAATATTTTTTGCCCATTTCTGCCACATTATCAGTCTGGTCACTAGTTTTCCTTGCCCGGTTGAGCTGTGTTTTAGCTCAGTGAGATGAGCAGCCGTTCTCAGACTGGGAGGCCCGGGTTCAAATCCCACTGGCAACATTTCTTTCAGTTACCAATTCAACTTATTTAACTTTTTTTCAACACAAATTTCAGCTTTTTCTGCTGTTTTCAGAAAAAACTGAACATTTTCAGCCTGTTCACCTCTTATCAGCACAATTCTGAGCAGCTTCTGCTCATTTCAGCAGAATTGTCAGTCTCTCCACCTCTTCTCTGTGAGAATTAGTTTGTCTTAGTGAGATGAGTAGCCACCTTGAGACCAGGAGGGCCAGGTTTGAATCCTGCTCACGGCAACATTTCATTTCACCACTTTTCACCAAAAAATTCTCCGTCTTTACCCCTTTCAGTAGAATTTTTTGCTTTTCACCACTTTTCAGCAGAATTTTCAGTTTCTTCACCGCCATACAACTTTTTGCAACTTTTCAACTTTTTCAGCTTTTTTCAGCAGGCAACTTCAGCGTTAAGGCATCCACACAGCATTTTCGCAGGAAATGCAAATTTTTCTAGTTTCCAATAGAGACCTGGCCTCATGGCAGCGAAAGTCAAAACTACATGTACCACATAAGTACATTTAAAGTTTTCCGGACACTGTCACGGCTCCCCTTGACCTCTGACACAACTGACCCATAAAAGGTGCAAACAGACATGCTATGTACATTTTCAAGAGTCCCTAAAACCACTATTTAAACCACATTTACATTTTGCAGGTGGCGCTATAAAGCCATTTTCCCACAGCCAGTGAAAAAAACCAATAAAACATGACAGCCTTCATCGCGTTTGAGGCGTGAATTTTGAAGCTTTCCCAGCTCCTCATCTGCAGCTTACCCGTTCATGGCGAATCGCCATGCCAACAGGGCGTGGTCTTAAATAAAAACTCACAATTTTCACAGTGAGGCATCACCAGGGCCTGAAGTTAATGCAGACGACCTTTAGGGTGCATGCAATGAACCTGTGAAGAGGACAAAACTTGATCTTTCCTGTTCCCACTAGGTGGCGCTCTAACTGGCGCTGATTATTTGCAAATGAAACTGTTCAGATTAAAGACAATGAAAAACAAACTGTTTATTTTAGATGTCCAGTTAGTTTTGGTGATTCCCTCAAACAGTCTGGTTACTTTACCAAGCCTCAACGCCTTTTCACTCTCTGTTTTTATGCTGTGGGCTGCAAGTGTGTAGATTTTAGTGCCGGCATAATGAAAAGTGAACATTGAAGTGTTATAGCTCTCTAAGGGTATCTGTTCAATCAATCAATGCTGGTCTACTCGTGGCAGGAGGGCTCCCTCTAGTGGTAAAAGTGATAATAGAAAAGTTGCGACGCTGCTCTGAGGGTGCTGATACTGTTTCATTTCTCTTTACTGCAGCTAAAACCAGAGGAGTTCTTCAGTGCAACCCTCTGACACAAGTTGTGTTTGTGTGTTTTCTTTCAGAGCAAAGTCACGCCGACGCCAACACCTTCTTCTACCTTCTGATTGTGTCTTCAATCATCAGCTCCCTGTACACACTGATCTGGGACCTGCGTATGGACTGGGGTCTGTTTGATCGTGGAGCTGGCGAAAACATCTTCCTCAGAGAAGAAATTGTTTATCCACATAAGGTAGCGTCTGGTTTAATCGCCGTGCCCGTCCCACCCAAACAGACACTAACCCCGTCTGCTCTGTGTCCAGGCCTACTACTACTGCGCGATTGTGGAAGATGTGATCCTGCGTTTTGCTTGGACGATCCAGATTTCTCTGATCACAATGACCAAGATCAACTCTGTGGGCGACATCTTGGCCACCATGCTGGCTCCTCTCGAGGTCTTCAGGTGGGTCTGAACAAAGTTTGTTCCTTACGACGAGCTTCTCAGAGCACCCACGGTGACTCGTGTCGTCCTCCTCACCTTCCTCACGGCAGGCGCTTTGTGTGGAACTTCTTCCGTCTGGAGAACGAGCACCTGAACAACTGCGGTGAGTTTCGTGCGGTCCGGGATATCTCTGTGGCGCCGCTCAACGCTGACGACCAGACGCTGCTGGAACAGATGATGGACCAGGAGGACGGAGTCCGGAACCGCTCGGGCAAGAAGACCTGGAAGAGGTCCCACAGCCTGTCGCTCCGACGCCCCCTGCTGTCCACCTCACAGTAAGAAACCACATGTGTGCCTGACATCGTGCACTTTTATTTCACTTTGAAGACGAGTGCAGAGCTCGTATCACTGTAGATGAAAGAAGTTATACTTCTATTAAACATCAGACATGTAAGGATTACACATTCCTCCTCGTTGCTCCTGGAGATCATAAAACTGTCACACTGAACATTTGTTCATTAATTAAATGTGTTCAAAGATAATACACGTATTTGAAATTTAAAAAAACAGCTGTTCCTTCAGTAGAGGAAGTATCCAGATGTTGCAATTCCAGGCTGTACAGCTGAGGTCCCTTATGTTGAGCAATCAATTTTCCCACATTCTGGTGTTTGAGCTATGAAGAGATACCAAAAATCCAACCGTATGTGCAGAAATTATACATTTTAATGCTAAAATATAATTATTGCTGTTTTACAAAAACCTTTTTTTTTATGAATGTGTAAAAGTACACTGATTTACTTTCATTCCTGAACACAAAAGTAGTTTTAGAGGCATTCCTGATTAATTTCCAACTTCTCAGAGAAGTAAAATTGGCAATAAACGTATGATTTAAAAAATATTACTGTGACGTGTGTTTTCTTGTTTTTATGACAGGTGGTCTGATACATTTGTTAAGTGCTGTATATGCCTTTGTCTGAATTAAAGTCACAAAGTGTTACACAGTTACCGCAGAGCTCCATTAACATCAGCACAGTAACTGTGCACCGGGAGCTTCAGGGCATGGGTTTGCATGGCTCCTGCAGGTGGCCCGGTGCTGCTGCCCATATAGTGTGTGCACTTGTGTGAAGACAATACTGAAAAAGCAGTCCATGCAGTTGTTTTAAATAGTTAGTAATTAGCGGTGGGTTTTGATCATCGATT